TATTTTTCTCTAAATATTTTTAATGGAAATAAAGTTACCCTATTATTTTCGTGTATTTGATCAGGAATCAACAAATAATCAGCGTAAAAGATCGCCGTGATGTACAAAAGCAATACGCTCGTGTAAAAAAACTAAAAAAATTAACACTTTTAAAAATTAATTTCTTTTCATACAGAAAATATTCGTCGAACTCGAATTTTCCATTCTGGAGACGATATAGCGAGACATCGAAGAAAAAAGTTATACGCATGTAAAAGACCATGAAAGATAGATAGAAGTAAATAAATGTGCTAGAATTTGCCGTTAAAAAGAAACAACAACCATCTCATCTTACCAAAAATATGAGCATCTCCGTTTGACTGAAATTTATTGAACTTGCTGAAATGATGGTAAAAGGTGGGATAACGGCGAAGCGAAGGAAGGACGAAGTAATCGTCATTGATAGGGAACAAAGCTAAAATGAGATGCTAAAGGGGATAACTGAATCGAGGCTGATTCCAAGTGAGAAATTTTTATCGCCGATAACACTTATTTTGTTTATTATTTGAAATGAATCGGCTGATTGATTTCCTGCCGTATTCGGCAACATTTTGTTGATGAACATCTCCTGCTGCGGCAAACAGGTTTAAACGAGCCAACTGGCAAGCCACTCTCCCGGCACAAAATTAGAATCATTTCTTATTTAACTTTTCTTTCAAGATGAGCGATGATGAAGCTATTGAAGATGATATACTGACATACTTCATTGTTGAGTTAGCACAATTGGAAATTTTCCCGGCACATTGCTATGTTTGCGGGAAAATTCAAGGAGGCCGAAATAAAGGAAAGTCGAGAACAAACAATTGGGCAAGAAAGATTTGCCGTAGCAATTTGCCTAGCAGCCGTAACTCGATGTTCATGTCAAAATGATAAAAGGATTTAATGGTCAACACAGAAGTTTGTAGAAGGCACAGAAACTTGGTTGGCCAACCTTGCAATCACAGCAGCCGCTCAAGTCACCCAAGTTGACCACCCTAATTTGGCTTCCTTCTTTGATGTTTGGAAAATGCCGTTCTTATCGAGAGGACACTTTCTTCATTTTTCAAAGCATCATGTATGGCCTGTGTCTATCAGATAACAGGAGTGTTTGATTTAGATCGGAGATTCTGGATGCAAGTCACCAAGATGGACTTAAAATGAGCTAGCTTGCCATTGGAAGCTTGGTAAAGTGTTATTGTCAATGCCCAATAAAATATTTAAGCGGTTCACCCAATTGAAACCAACAACCCTTTCTCGAGTGCCAGATTGACAGTCTTAGACCCCGCGTATAAAGGAGCTTCCGTAATTCGACTTTTTACAAAAAACGGCCCCACTAACGCGCAGAGCTAATTTGATTTTTTAAAATTAGATAAAATTTTACACATATAGCCAATTTTCAGCAAAGACGGTTCAGCCAAATTTTCTAAAATCGCATAACAGACAGACACACAGTTATATTCTCCGTCTCTTATAATAAATAACGATCAAAACGATCATTTAGCTTAGAATCAACACAAAATTATCATTTACTTACAATGATCGCAATTTGAACCATTCTGAACGTTTTAATGTGATCTGGAGCTTTCACACAACTGAATATACCAATGGTGAGTGAGCAAATAAAGCCATCGTTTGGAAGTGGAATTAAATAAAGAGTCTCGAGAATTGAATATTCTGACATTTGAGTCTGATAGTGGGAAAAGCGAGCCAAATGTGACTGTTTGTGAAATTGAAATTAAAATGTGAAATTGAAATTGAAAATGTGACTGTTTGTGAAATTGTTTGTGAAAAAAATTAGAGTGGACGAATTGGAAATGAAAATGGAAACAGGTGTTTTTTGAGAGTCAGGAGACAGCTGTAAACTTTAAGAAATAGTTTTCAGCCTGTAATGAACATCTGTTAAACCTTACTGTTTATAGTACGCTAATTTTAGGATATGATCACCTATCATGATCCTGGTTATCACTTACTGTTGTCAAGGTGAGTTTTGTAACTCCAAAAGTTTCCATTGTTTTTTCTTTCTTTTTTCGTTTCTATTTCTGCTTAATTTTTTTGAAATTGGTTTATTATAAATAAGTATTATTTTATTTTTAAGTCAGCTCAAGTTTTTAAAGATGCGTATTGATGCGTGATGGGATATAGCGGTACAGACCAATTTTTGGCATTTACAGTATATTGAAGTAATTAAAAATGGCCTAGCTCATTCGTCAGAGCAAAATTTGTAATTAGTTTTTGATAAATCGTTGAATAAAACCGAATTCGAAGTCTTTATTCATAACTTTTTTTCTATTCATAATTAGATGCAAGCACCTAGATTGTTGGAAGATTTCTGATCATTTAAACAATTTCGATCTGGCTTCTGTTTCTCGTGTTGGCTCAGAGCGATAATAGTTCTTACTAAATTTTTACAAATTCTTTGATGCTCATTTAGCAAATTACCTGAAATGTAAATACCCGTAACATTCAGAATTATCTTCCATCTCTTTATAGAGACTTTGCCGAATTTTTGAAAGCGCCGGCCGATCGTTTTGGCTCTTCTTTCCAACAATCACCAATAATCGAGTTTCAAAACGTTTGATATTCACAAATTTCTAACTAGATTACATGAGAGATGGAGGCACTTCCGGGATTTCCAAAAGTTTCCCTGTTTTCAAATGTGGAAGCACTTCCTCTGGGACTTTCCTAATTCCTAATTCCTATAAGTGAGTAGAAAAAGAATGAAACATTGACAACAATATGATTAGATTATTTCGTTCTCAGCGTCTCAAAAAACGATTCACATCACGAATTGGAGATTCCAATGCGGTTCGCGCAACAACCAAAGGCTTATTTCATTCGACCTGATGAAAAATGAAAATATCAAATTTTTTGTGCTTTATCTGATAGCTAACAGTTCGATGTCTATAAAATCTTAATTTAAACTTCATGTTCAAGCGCATTATTTTTCAGGATCCTTAAAATATATATCCTTTGGTGGTCAAGTTTTTCATTGGTTGAAAAAGTGGTTCGAAAAGCCGTGAAACAACCTATTTTCAGCGCATCTTTTAGAAAACGTTTGCTGCATGAAGGAATTAGCAACTCCAGATTACCAGTTTCATTTCAGATTAGAATTCCTGCAAGAAATCAATTTCATGAAGCAATTAGAGTATCATCCTCATATTCTTTCTTTGATCGCCTGTTCAACGGCTCCAAATCACCCTCTAATCTTGACAGAGTTTTGTGAAATTGGAGAACTCTTGACTCTAGTCAGAAATCTTGGTTTGAATTATAAAAATATTGTGAGTTCACTGGAATATTTTATTTATCAACGTTATTCAGTTGAATGTTCTAGAATTCAAAGATTTGGTCCCAATCGCCTAGCAAATCAGTGATGCTTTGGTAAAGAAAGTATCGATTTTTTTAAAAACAACCACTTCCAGACGTTTTGATCCGACAAAAACATAATTCATTGAGATTTCTCGACGAAATCCGATGTGTGAGTTTTAGCGTAAGAAATGTCAACTTTCGATCAAGTTTAATGCCGACACGCTTTAGAAACTTATTTAACACCAAAATACTTTAGACTAGAGTGTGTGCATCTTAAATAAGTAATTAGTTGCGTAATTTTCTGCTTGAGTAAGCGTCAAGTAATGACCATTCTAAAACGCGCTCCTTTAGCAATTTATCGGGTTGGTGCATGGAAGACTGCCGGACTTTGAACTAAAATTTATTGAACATAAAACCATCAATTCATTCCAAATAATTTCCATTATTATTGACGACTTCTACCCATTTTACAGGCAATTTGCGGATTCCTCTTTCGTAGTAGGATTTTGGTTTGTGTGTGAGACAAGTGTGAGACTCAAAAATGGAGGACTGGAGATGTCCCAGTTTGAGCACTTTCTTCAAAAGAAACCCATTTTGGTGTCAATAGAGAAGTTGTAGAGAATAAAAAATTAGGATCATAGCCAAATTTCCAAAAAGATACACTTAGTAGTTTCGCTTAAAATGCAAGTTTTGTGAAAATTCGTAAGTTCGTAAAATCAAAGTGTTTGAAAAATAATTAAATTAAAGTACCTACCGTACGTAATTACGTATTCCAAGGATTACCGTATTTACCTCTTTTCAGGTAAATACGGTAGTTAGTTTCATATTTACCGTATAGATTACAGTAGTTATTTTTCTCAACGCGTCTTTTTAAACATTTTAGCCACAGTACAGTACCTTAAAAAGCAATTAGTATTGAAAAAAGTTATAGTGTTATACAGTACTCTCGTTTCAGCTGGTATTTCGGTGTTCTTCTTTCTGAAATCTACTCATTCGGCAAAACTCCATTCCATTCAATAAACCAAGAGGAAGTGCTTCCACATTTGAAAACTGGAAAACGATTGGAATTGCCTGAATCATCGCCAGATTGGATTTAAGAAAATGGTCAAACTTGAGTAAATTTCTTTAGAAATGAAATTGTTGAGAGTTATTGGAAGGTTGATCCAGCTGATCGTCCAGAATTCTCAACGATTCGCCAAAAATTCGAGAAATGGAGAAATGGAGGACAACTCTGAGTGCTACGGGTATTTGCATTTCAGGTGAAACCTTTCAAATTTCATGTCCATTTTTGGATTTCAGCAGAAACTATCATCAAGCCGAGCCAACACGAGAATGGGAAACCTGCAAATTGTGAATAGAATCTTTTTTGGTTTAATTTCACTAAAAAGAAACGTGAACATTTTTAAAACTTTAACAAGCAAACAAGCAATTAGTATTGAGAAAAGTTATAGTTTTTAGTTTAAAAGTTTTTAGTTTTTTTTAAAAGTTTTTAGCTCTATTTTTCTGTTTTTTTCTGGAAAGGCCTATCGTTATCGTTAAATAAACTAAACGAATACATAAATTTTAATGAAATTTCCATCTCTTTAAAAGATTTGAAACGATATCAACTTTGACTTATCATTAATCATATAAAATTCATATAAAATTTTAAGTGTATATCGATAAAATTTATAACGATGATACGACTTATAAAACGGTGATGTAAAGTGAAAAAATTGTCTAGATCAAAAATGAAACTTTTACTTTATTTTGTTTTCATTCACTAATCTGGGCACAATGTAAGTTTTGAACTTTTCTAGCATCTAAACAATTTCATTTTGAGACAAAAGGCTGGGCTTTTCTACGGAATTCAACCCTCATACAAGTTCACTTACGATGACATCTCTACCGCGAGTCTTCACACTGATCAAGTACTTTTTGAAGAAAATGTTTCTATTTAGTACCCTAGACTCTAAAGATTCTTGATAAAGCCGCAAATTTAGCCAATACTCAAGGGAGCTGCTCAAAAAGCTGCTTATGATTTCGTCAAAGTAGCGGTAAGTGATCTGTTCCTTTGTATATAAGTGTTATAGAACTATAGAACCCTAGAAAAAGAAGAAAAACCATCGAACTATAGAACGCCATAATGACGGGCGTACAATCGCGTAGTCTAGCTTTGAACGTTCCGTTCTCCGCGCTGTGTGCGCTTGGGTGTCAAATGATAGCCCTTGAAATCTAGTATTTTTTGATACCAAAGTGTAATTAGGAAAATCTAGGGGTTGAAAAAAAATTATTTTCTAAAAAGAAGTTGACTACGAGGTGGTGGCGTTTTATTTGAATATTTACGGTATTTACGTTGGGTTTAGATCACTAAAGTTGTCACAAATCAAAAGCTGGCCCTGGCCTATTTACCGGAGATCACCTTTTTCGGATTGGATAGACCGATGATACTGAAGAAGATTGTGAAAACCCTTAACGTAACCACCACCACCGTTAACCCGGCCGCTGCCACCACCACTGGTCCTTCAACAGTTGCACCCGTCACAGAGGTACATTTGAATAAGAAAACGGTTCAGTAACGTCAGTAACGGGTATTATTGTATTCTTTTAAGGGCTGCTCAGCAAATCCAAATCTCGATGTGAAAGAATTCATTGTGAGTACGTCCGGTTTCGTGACTCGACCCTGTCACGCAGTTGACTCATCCCAAACGAGCTTTGCCACTTGGCCTCTATTTGGTGAGGTTCCAAAAATGTAAATACATCACAAATTTCAGTGCAAGTCAACTTTGAGCTGAAATCTTCGGTGAAGACAGCGACTATGAAATCAATTATCAGTCAAGTAAGTCCGGCTTTTTCAGTTGCCCTTGAAAAGTATTTAGTTCAAAGCCGAACTTGGACCAATGATGCAACTCATCAAACCGATGGCTGAGTTCTACTGATCTCTTTAAAAACTGATTTTGCAAATAAATGATTAATGAATTGTGAATAAATGCAAATAATTTTGATGATCAACTTTGGATTTATTAGATACAGAAAATATCATTGAGAAAAATGCACAAGAGTTCCAGGAGAGTACACATGTTCAGTTTTAAAGTTTTCTTCAGTAAAATTCGATGAACAACTTTGCATTTATAAACTTCTTACTTCAATTATACCAAGAGAACAAGTTACTTTACTCAAGACTCAAGAACAAAATCAGTAATGTAAAATAACTTGTGAAGCCTAAAAAAACGAATGAATGATGTAAAATAGTGACTTCATACAAAATTTGACTGAAAACAAGCCTTAAATCCGAGTGGTTTGAATCAAAAGTAAAACCAGTTTCACAAAATACGATTTGATCAAATCAGTTGAACTGCTCTAAACTATACAATCTCCAAGAAATCTATCCATAACCATTAAAATTAAAGTGCCAGACGAAATTTTTCATTTTTTTATTCTAATTTTCACAGAGCTTCTCACCTCTCAAATAGCAAAATGCTCAACTTCTTAAAGAGTTTCAAAGGCTTAAAATAATATTGAGTAGGATGAAATGGCGGCGTCTTCAAATGAACTTTTAAAAAAAACTAAACCATAACGTTTTTTCAATTATTTTTCTAATCGCAATGGAATTTTGTTGAGTATTCCGCAGCAATGGAAGCCGCTCTGATGTATACTAATGTGACGGTACGAATTTATCTACTCTTGCCTGCTGCAAATGCTAGATAGTGATTAGATTTTGCTTATTTAGTAAGTAATCTTCATAGTGTAAGAATCTTTAGTCTAATCTTTATTAGAATACAATAGGTACATAAAACTCTTTAGATTGGTAGAGTTTTGGGAAAAAACAACTTGACCCTAGCTGCTTAAACTGATATCATTTTCATGAACTTGTATGATGAACCGATATCGTTGAGAGTGCTTGAGCTGGAGGTGCGAAGAAGGATTTTAGGCAAATTTACTAGTGTTCGACATGCTTAGCAATACGTTAAGTTAAGCTATGAAATAAGCCCAGTGAGTCACAGTCTACCCAAAAATAGTTTTAATATTCCCAGTGAGTTCCATTTTTCCCAATAAACACCATCAATCGAATCCGCGCCTTAGAAGGTTGCATTAATAAAATGTTACGGGTATTTGCATTTCAGGTAATTTGGTAAATAAGCATCAAAGAGTTTGTAAAAATTTAGTAAGAACTATAATCGCTCTGAGCCGACACGAGAAACAGAAGTAAAGATCGAAGCTGTTTAAATGATCAGAAATCTTTCAACAATCTTGGTGCTTGCATTTAATTATGAAAAGAAAAAAGTAATGAACAAAGACTTCGAATTAGTTTTATTCAACGATCTATTAGGTTGGTGCAAAAGAAATTTCGGTCGATATAAAATGTTCTTATTTTTTTAATCTGAAGAGCTTATTTGATGTTCTTTTGTGCATTTGTACTCTTGGATATTTACTTTATTTTCGCATTTTTTCAAAGTCAGAGCTTTCACTTTTTAATTGATTTTTGCTTTAGATCATGGTGGATCAAAAGTATGTTCTGCGCACGTGTCTTCTCTATGACTTCAAAATGGGCAAAAACGCTGCTGATTCACATCGTGATCTCTGTTCCGCCTTTGGAGAACAGGTTATCACCGAAAGATCATGCCAGCTCTGGTTTGCCCAATTCCGAGATGGTAATGAATCCCTTGAAGACGAATCGCATGGACATCGTGCCACAGCCATCGACAACAATGAATTGAAGCTGATCCAATGCAAACAACACGAGAACTTGCCAAACATCTCCAATTCAACAATTGTACGCCATTTGGAAATAATTGGAAAGACAAATCGTAATGGACAATGGGTTCCACATCAATTGAGTGTTGAGAATCTGGGAGCACGCGTTCCGATCAGCCATATCTTGCTCCAGAAGTCGAAAAGAAGCCATTTTTTTTGAGAATATCTTGACGATGGATGAGAAGTGGATTCACTTTGATAATACTTCTCGAAAAAGACAATGGCTGAGCAAAGGTCAAGCGCCAATTCCAACTCCAAAGCCGGATTATCATGGGCGCAAAGTGATGTTGTCTTGCTGGTGGAATATCAATGGACTTGTTCATTTTGAATTATTAGAGCCCGGAAAAACAGTCGATTCATCTTATTTTATTCAACAACTCAAGAAGGTTGACGAAATTTTGCGTGAAAAAGGCCTAAATCCCTCAACTATCAACTTTCTCCGTGATAATGCTCCAGCTCACACGGCAAAAACCTCTTGTAAGGAACTAGAGAAGCTAGGATGGAAGGTCTTACCACATGCGCCGTATAGTCCAGACTTAGCACCCTCCGATTTTCACCTTTTCAGATCGATGCAACATTCCCTTGAGAATTGCCAGTTTAAGAATGCAAAAGAAGTCGAAAATTGGGTGACCAACTACTTTGCATCACAGAATCAAGCGTTCTTTGAGAAGGGGATCCGCAATCTGTAGCAACGTTGGAGGGATGTCATAGATAATAATGGTGCTTATTGTTTTAAATAAATTGTTATCAAAAAAAATTTTGGATGACTTTAATGTTTGTAAAAAAACGAAATTTCATTTGCACCAACCTAGTATCAAAAACCAATTACAGATTTAGCTCCAACGAATGAGGTAGGCCATTTTCTATTACTACAATATACCGGAGATGCCAAAAATTGTTCTGTACCGCCATCTCCCATCAGGCATCAATACGCATAATCTGAATTGAAAATAAAAATCTAAGATCTGACTTGAAAATGAAATAATACTTATTTATACTAAACCAATTTTAAAAAATTAAGCAGAAATAAAAACGAAAGAATAAAGAAAAAGCTATGGAAACTTTTGAAGTTATAAAACTCACCTTGACAATAATAAGTGATGTAACCAGGGTCATGACAGGTGATCGTATCCTAAAATTAGGGTATTATAAACAGTAAGATTTAACAAATGTTCATTACAGCCTGAATACTATTTCTTAAAGTTTACAGCTGTCTCCCGACACTCAAAAAACACCTGTTTCCATTTTTATTTCCAATTCCTTTCTACTTTTTGGGTTCAGAAACAGTCACACTTTTCCACTTTTCCTCACTTCGCTCATTTTTCCCACTATCAGACTCAAATGTCAGAATATTCAACTCTCGAGACTCTTTATTTAGTTCCACTTTCAATCGATGGCCTTATTTGCTCACTCACTATTGGTATATTCAGTTGTGTGAAAGCTCCAGTTCACATTAAAGCGTTCAGAATGCTTCAAATTGCGATCATTGTAAGTAAATGATAATTTTGTGTTGATTCTAAGCTTAAATGTGGTTTTGATTGTTAGTTATTATAAGGGAGAGAGAGAGTATATCTTTGTGTCTGTCTGTTATGGGATTTTAGAAAAATGGCTGGACCTATTTGGATGAAAATTTGGCTATATGTGTAAAATTTTATCTAATTTTGAAAAATCGAGTTAGTTCTGAGGGTTAGTGGGACCGTTTTTGTAGTTTTTGTAGTTTTTGTAAAAAGTGAAATTACTGAAGCTCCTTTATACGCGTGGTCGAGTGGTCTAGGACTGTCAATCTTTTTAGTGGGGCATTGACAATAACACTTTACCAAGCCTCCAATGAGAACTAGCCCATTTTAAGTCTATCTTGGTGATTTGTATCCAGGATTTCCGATCTAAATCAAACACTCCTGTTATCTGATAGATACAGGCCATACATGATGTTTTGAAAAACGAAGAAAATTTCCTTTCTATAAGAACGGCATTTTCAAAACATAAAAGAAGGAAGCCAAATTTGTGCGACTTGAGCCACTGCTGTGATTGCAAGGTTGACCAACCAAGTTTCTGTACCTTCTACAAACTACTGTCTCGACCATCGAGTCCATTTATCATTTTGACATGAACATCGAGTTACGGCTGTCACGACACATTCCATTTCTTGCTCAATGGATTTCTAGCCCTTTAATTCGGCCTCCCTAAATTTTCCCGCAAATATAGCAATATTGCAGCAAAGTTTCCAGTTGTGCTAACTCAACAATGACGTACGTCAATTTATCATCTTCAATAGATTCATCATCGCTCATCTTGAAAGGAAACTTCAATAAGAAATGATTCTAATTTTCTGCGAGGGGAGTGGCTCCTTCAAATCTGTCTGCCGCAGCAGGAGATGTTCATCAACAAAATGTTCCCGAATATGGCAGGAAATCAATCAGTCGATTTGTTTCTGCTATTTTTGGTATAAAAAGCATCAAATAAAAGCAAAATAATGGTCAAAAATCAGCCTCGATTGTTACCCCCTTTAACATCATATTTTAGCTATGTTCCCTATCAATGACGATTACTTTGTCCTTCACTCGTCCCGTCATTATCCCATCTGCCACCATCATTTCAGCAAGTTCAATAAATTTCAGTCAAACGGAGCTTCTCATATATGCTGTAAGATGAGATGGTAATTGTTTCTTCTTAACTGCAAATTCCAGAACATTTATTTATTTCTCTCTATCTTTCATCTTTTTTTACATTCGTATAACTTTTTTCTTCGATGTCTCGCTATATCGTCTCCAGAATGGAAAATTCGAGTTCGACGAATATTTTCTGTATGAAAAGAAATCAATTTTGAAAAATGTTAATTTTTTAGTTTATTTATACGAACGGGTTTTTTTGGTTGATCACAGCCGTCCTTTACGCTGATTATTTGGTGATTCCTTATCAAATACACGAAAATAATGGGGTAACTTTATTTACCTTAAAAATTTTAGAGTAAAAGACAATTAAACAATTCTTAGACCAAATCTTCAATCGATTTTTCGGTTCTTATAAACGATTCAAATTTTCCGCTGTCACTTGGATTATTCGGAATTCTCCTGGTCTTTGCGATGAGGTTGATCATTTAAATAAATTAAAGTCCGTGTCGAGCTCATACTTTAAACTAAAAATACGTTCGACTTGTTTGTTAAGTAATACCCGAGTAACT